TCGTTTGTGCTGGGTATATTTCTACAGCGCGTGTGTGTGTGTGTGGACGGGTGGGTGGGTTATGAGGGGGTTTTGACTGCAGCCCCAGCTCGCAGGGAACGGCGTCACATCGCATGCTTTGAATTACTGTACATTTGTAGCTGGTAGACAGACTCCTGCCAAATGTCTCTCAGTGGATCAGACAGCCAACATCAGCACTGTGGGCTCTGCCACGAGTCCTCCTTTCATTCGCACTCTGTCTTTTTCCAACACACTTTGGATTTCTTTCACCGCTGTGCCTCACTTTCGATCACTGCACACTCACAGCCACACATACTAATATCTCAGTGTGTCTAGTTTTGATCAGCTCCACTCACCCAAACCTATTTGATTATTTATTCGTGCCATTTCACATAGTATGTACAAGACAATACAGACACAGCCGCCCACACACATTCCTCACACAGACACATTGATTTGTCTGTGTGTTTACACAGTTCACCAGGCAGCTAATCTTTATGGCATTGCTGACTGAGGCCTATTTTTGTTAAAAAGTCAGGTGACTAATCAGGCCACATTACAACAGCCTGATCGCTGCCTTAAAGAGCCCGACTCCTCCTAGGAATCCTGCCCAGGTGGGGCCAGGGGAAGTACTGGTGACATCACCACAAAGGATTCAACAAAGACTAGCATTCCTCTCTCAATCTTAATCCACTGTGTTCATATATAGGCTCCCTTCAAGCAGACAAAACCATTCCAAGAGCTTTTACGTCACACCTCATTAATGTCACCTGCCTGCTTCTCCCTCTTCAGTCTCTTGTAACCCTTCTTTTCTAGCTCACAAGCAAACACCTTCAGGGCCTAACAGATCCTCCAACTATGTGTCCTGGGAAGTGTCAGATAATGTGACAATAAGAAACTTAACTGTGTATTTCCAGTATATTTTGCCAAGAGCTCCCACATAATTTGTGTCTTGTTTTTGTCAAATGACTTCAGGTACTTGGTATGACCTGGGGGGTTTTTTCCCACTGGTACCAGTGGGTCCTCGTTTTGAAGATACACAAAGGTAGTCTTCAAAAGATTTCCATCCTTTTCTACTCAAGGACATCCAGGAATTGTGTCAGGTTTTTATGTTACACTCAAAACTATATATAAAGATGGGCGACGCGACAGGTCCCAGAAGCGAAGCCACCACAAGCCGATCACCCCTTGGTGCCTGGTTGGAGGGTAGGTCATCAACCAACCCCGCCCACTCTATGTTAGCAGACGGGACATGAGCCAGACTAGAAATTCAAAGTACAAATCAAATAAATGTTCTCCAAAGGTGATTTGTGTTGTTTTTGGTAGGATTTGTACAAGTGGTCATTTTTCTGATAGTATTGTTTTTCATGAGTTATTGGATGAGAGCATTCCGGACGTTTTGACAGCTCTGACTGGCGGTCGGCTCCAACTTTGGCTGCTACTGTGCAGAACCTGCTTTCAAAATGCAACACAAAAGCAAGATGGTCGCTCTCATGCTGGTGATGTTTTGGCTTCCCTTTGGTATTGAGGCAGGAAATGCTGACACATCATCTATTTTTGTATACGGTCTATGATTTGTTACTAGAAGCAACATCTTTCACATATTGATTATAACTGCTTTAAATTCAATTCATTTGTTGTGGTATTTATAATTTATAATGCCATACATTTTATTGTTTTCACGCCACTTCTGTGACCAGGAGGCGCGCACTGGGTGAAAGTGGAGCTCCAATCCTCCTCACAGGTGACAGAACCTTCAACAATATCATCAACGCCAGCGTCAGGCCATGGCCCCGCATCTCAGCACAATCTTCACACTGTGGCCTTTGACTATAAACAGGCAGTCATGACCCTCTGACAGTTGTTTCTGTTATTACCGAGATCAGATTAGTCCTTTTTACAAAGATTAATAACCGTCTCAGTTCACTCTCTGTGGTGGATGTTGGGAGCGTAAAGGCCACAGACAAGTGACTGACACTGAGTTAATGTGAAAATAAGTTTGGTGTCCCAACATATCTT